GTGCTGTAGTATAGTGGTCAGTACGGTTCGTTGTGGTCCTATGGGACATTCCCGAACAGACCTGGGTTCGATTCCCAGCAGCGCCAAATGGCGCTAAGAACTTGATTGGTTTCTTTTTTGTTTTCGTCATCTTTTCGATTAAGACAAATGAACATCATTGCTTGGCTTCCTCAACTGTATGTGAATCATTTCCCCCATCGTTTAGTCTAAAAAAAAAAAAAAAAAAAATACGATTGCCATCTCTGCCCTCCCATCATTATATGGACAGTTCGGATTCTCACATATGGCTACATATATCCCCATTACCTTCCACGCTTTGTTCGATGAAACATAACGGACAGAATTGTAAGAGCACCCTTGTGCTCAGTACCCACTCTGGCATATCTACCTCCCGCTGAAAAGTATGCTTCAGGTGAGGTGCTCTCTCAAGAAAACACAGGAATCTTCCATCATGGGCAAGGTTTGTGCCCAACACCCTGACGTATTCCCTTCTGACATATTCCCCGACAATACTTCTATCTATATCCAACAGAAGCTCTCTCGTAGTGTCAGTTCCCGGTCTCGCAGCAATGGCCGCGGAACCAAATAATGCAGAACAGCAATGATGAATGCTGGACATGACAGGTAGCGGTTCTAAAGGCTGTAGTTCAAAAACATCGGTGTCTTCTGGTGTACCATATGAGAGGGATACCATCCCTAAAATTGGCGCGCGGAAGGCCGAGCAAAACCACATCAGCATGGTATGAACCCATGGGATGTCTTGTAGGAATAACACGTCAATCCAGCCTGGTCTTGCGCCCATCTGGATTATCCCATAGTCTGAATAGGGCTGTTAGAATATATATGTAGTACAACTTTTAGACAATATCAGGGAATTCTAACCGTTTAACACCCTGGGGTGTTCTAGCGCTATGATGACCTTTTCTAAGATATTTAATCCGAAAAGTCCATATACCTGGTAAACGTATTGTCCACAGGTTAATACCTCAACTCTAAATTCAGTGAGAGTTAAGGTATGTGTAGCCCTTATATCGTCTATCGCGAACAAAGGTAGCTCCCACTGGTAAGAACAAGTCTTCCAGGTTGTCGGAGTGCTAATGAGATGAGGCCAAAGAAAAGTTGACTCTGTTCCACAGTTAGTTATGCAGCCCGCTTCAAGGCAGTACGTTGCTGTATCACCGACCCGAGGTACTGAGGTGGTGGGAGGAAGGCGGAGATGAAATAAATATAAATAAAACTAAGAGGAAGACTATAGATTATAAAGTCAAGCATACCTAGTGGGACAAACTGACCTGGTTCTCTATAGCAAAGGTTGTTGTACTCATCGTATATCTGCGGAAGCTCTGTAGGACTACCAAAATTGACCATAGATCCTTTCGGTTCTGAGGTGTACCATGGAGGGGATGTACTTTCGTCGGAAGATGGAGTGTCTTCTCCCATCGGAGTCGCTGGTATTGATGGGGACTTGCTTTCAGTGTTCATCTCGAGAACATTTCTTGTCAGAGAAGGGGCGGGTGAAGAAAGAAACAATGAAAGCGGCACTGCAACAAGGGAAGCCGAAGCGTATTGAATGAAGAGGCCGCAGTTAGGGTTTGGTGTGGGCTGCTCGAAAAGGTTGGAAACCTAACATTACAGATGTCTAAATTTCTACACTTTATATCATTGTACTAGGCGAGACGCTGTCTCTGTGAAGTGGCAAGCCCCTTAGGATATCCTACTTCTAGGTTATCAGGGCGCCTTATCCCCGCATAGGATCGGCAACTGTTCTTAGATATGAACACTTGCATTGTCATGAGCCGACGTGTACCACTACCCATCACGGGAAATATCTTCGAACTATAGGGCATGGCTCCTTCCTTTGTTTTTCTGTCGGTAAGTACCTTTATTAGCTTCTACTTTCCACTTATCCGGATATAAGCGGCTGTAATTATAGACGAGTAGTAGCGATACGTGGAAATTGCCCAGTGGTTTGGCCGAACACATCTGATGATACATCCTGGACTATGATTTTAGCAGGCAAGCCCTTCTTCTCTATCACTGCTCCCAGATTGAAGATCCATCAATATATCTATGAATACGGTATACTTCATCTTCACCACGAGACACGACCTGGACCGTGACCACTTCTCTAAGCCTCTGCTCGAAGCTATTCTTTATAATTGCTGCTATCACATCTCTCAACTCACCATTGTCCTCTAGAATGTCTTTGATTGTATAGGTATGCTCCTCGGCATTGGTGCTTGGTTTTCTATAACGTATCTAACGAAATTTGGATCCATGTCGGACGGGTCCGTTTAAAAAAAGGTAATGATGGGCTACCCGGGGAATAATGAAAAGAGAAAGTTCTGAATCCAAGTAATGCAAATCTGTATAAGATGACAGAGATTCACGAGATATTATATAGTCAAGTACGTCACCCGTTTACCTGCGCCTGTAAAGATTTTCTCTGGAGACTAGACGTTGGTTGTGCGTTTTGATACTGAAGCCGGTAGGAGCGTTCTGGCCCTTGAATTATATCATAGGATGTCTTTCTTTTAGCGAGAACACTCATTGAAAAATGCAATCATTTGAGTCTTGCTGCAACCTTCTCTTTGGTCTTGTAAACTATTGGAATTCTTTGCTTATAATGCCAAATCATAGTCTGGGAGCTTTTCTGGCATTGTGAAGAATGTACCTCAACGGGAAGAAAGGAGGTAAACGTCAATTTTCGCAGCTCCGTACGCATCGCTTGCAGATTAATTGGGAAGATAGTTGATAAACAAAAGGCCAGCCAGAGAATACATGGGGCATGGTTTCTGGAATACGGTAGATTAGTGATCCCAGGAACCAATGGCTGGTTATGACTAGAAAAAAGACCAGGGAATGGCAATCTTTGACAGGCGGATATTTCTGGGGATAAGGTGAATGAGGTATGTTTGGGTATTTGAATCCTTTCAGATAGAGCGGCATGTACGTTGAAAGAGACAACACATGGTCTGTTTCGCAACACCCAAAGCGCTCATTATACGTCTTCTGAGCTTCATTGAATCCTGTAAATGCCCCTTTGCCATGTGTCTCTTTGCCAGGCTAGTTCATGTCGTTCGTTGATTTATTGTACGTCTAAGGTGACAGGTTCGGCTGGATGAAATATCAAAATATATCCATAGAAACATTGTGATGAAACTAGAGAATGAACGGTACTGTGGCTTTCTTTCACCCTCAGTTCCGATGAGTTCATTCCACTTTGTTTCCATGTAGCATAGTGGAGCGGTATTTCTGAGCAAAATCACTCGTGCAAACAAGATATCAAGATATCAAGTCGGCTGTGCGTTTGACCCTTGGGTTCTGAAATACAAGTTATCGTCAGAGGCTTAGATTAGGCCACTGAATAACGAAGTGGTTAGAAAAACCTAGTTATCTCACAGTCCGCAAGACTTCCTAGAACACCCGAGACGATAGACTGGTTCATTGCCCACCACAAAATAATACAAGTGATGAGGTAGAGCAGACCCACAGGGCAACGGAACAGACCTCAAAAGCATACGCAGTAGTATATAATTGTCTTAAGCATCATTTTGCCGACTATTCTGTGTTCAGCTCATGTCTACTTCCAAAGGCGAAACAGACATTCAGAATGTAGGAAATGAAAGGCCTGGCGACCAGAGACCATTGTGTATCTATGCCGCATTCCGTAACCTTTTTAAACAAACTAAAACAGAATCGTGATCGAGATCATGGGAGGATATCGTTGGAGGGCCAATTCTGAGTGACACGTCGAACAGCTTGGACGAAATGCGGGGAGTCTCACGTGGTATGGCGCATATAAACCAAGCTAAAGCCATGGAGAATCTGAAAACTCCCACACCAAGAGAGCAGGTATTTCTCATAGACACCGCAAGTAGTCCGAAATGGAAAAATACATCTTCCCCACAAAGCCCAAAGCTAAACCGGGTGCGATTATCTCTGGCCCCAAATATCGCTTTACCGTCCTTACCGATCGCCTGCTGCGTTTTGAATGGGCCGAAGATGGCCGGTTTGAAGATCGAGCTTCTACTTTTGCTATTAACCGTGATCTCCCAGTCCCAGATTTTAGGATCATTGACAAGGACGGGTTAGAGATTATCACGGAGCACTTTCACTTAAGTTATGACAAGAAGAGATTCAGTTCCAACGGGATGGTCGCTCATCTGAGCGCGAAAATGACCAAGTATGGAACCGAATGGCGATTTGGAACCCCATCCACGCTCAACTTAGGAGGAACAGCAAGGACATTGGACCTATGCGATGGACGATGTGACATGGGAGACGGAGTCCTGTCGAAAGCTGGCTTCGCAGTGATCGATGATTCTGAAACCATGCTCTTTGATGGACAGGGCTTTGTCGCAAACCGGCCAGCCGGAGACCGAGTAGATGGATATCTCTTCGCCTACGGTCGCGACTATAAGGCAGCGATCAAAGCATTTTATGCTGTATCTGGCAAACAGCCAGTCGTACCTCGATACGCTTTAGGCAACTGGTGGAGCCGGTACTATCCGTATCGACAGGAGGAGTATCTCGAGCTCATGGATAAGTTCTATAAGGAGGACATTCCATTGTCTGTAGCCGTCCTCGACATGGATTGGCATTTAGTGTCCGATGAGCGAGTCCCACATGCTGGCTGGACGGGGTATACGTGGAATAAGAAGCTATTTCCGGACCCGGCATTGTTCGCTCGTGAAATTCACGAGCGCAACCTGAAGGTAACATTGAATGACCATCCCCACGATGGAATTCACTCTCACGAAGATTCGTATCAAGAAATGGCAGAGTTCCTGGGTCGTGATACAAGGCATAAAACTCCGATCCTATTTGATTCAACCGACCCGAAGTTTATGGATGCTTACCTCAATATTCTGCACCGGAACCTTGAAGCCGTAGCATGCGACTTTTGGTGGATTGATTGGCAGCAGGGGCCGTACTCCAAAATCCCTGGAATTGACCCCCTGTGGATGCTCAACCATTTCGCCTATCTCGATCATGGACGAGATGGCAAGATCCCGCTCATTCTCTCCCGATATGCTGGCCCCGGAAGTCACCGTTATCCCCTTGGTTTCTCCGGCGATACGGTGGTGACCTGGGCCTCACTCGAGTTCCAACCAGAATTTACAGCAACTGCATCAAACATTGGGTACGGGTGGTGGAGCCACGACATTGGTGGCCACATACATGGCGGCCGTGATGACGAGCTTGTCACTCGATGGGTGCAGCTTGGGGTTTTTTCACCAATCATGCGGCTGCACTCAACATCGTCACGGTGGATGTCTAAGGAGCCATGGCTGTATAGTGCGGAATGTTACTCAGTTATGACAGAATATTTGAGGTTTCGGCACAAACTGGTGCCATTCCTCTACACACGGAACATAATCTGCGCAACGGAGGATGAGCTACTTGTACAGCCAATGTACTGGGAGTACCCCGGACGTGAAGAGGCCTACTCCGTTCCAAATCAATATATCTTCGGATCTGAGCTGGTTATCGCTCCAATTGTGCAGCCACGGGGTAAGGGGACTGGGTTAGCATCGGTGAAAGCTTGGCTGCCGCCCGTCGGACGATTCGTTGATATCTTTACTGGTACAGTTTATGACGGGAATCGCGAGTTGATGCTTTATCGGACCTTGTTCGAGTACCCCGTTCTGGCCCGCCAGGGATCAATTATACCTCTAGACGCTTCTCCCCAGAACGGCTGCCTCAATCCGGATACCTTCGAAGTTTTTATCGTGATCGGTCAAGATGGGTATGCTGACGTTCTTGAAGATAGCCGAGATGATAGACAACAGAAGAATGAAAATGTCACGGATGGAAAGCAACGGGTCTCCACCATCCGGTATGCACAGGCAGAAGGAAAGCTTACGGCGGAGGTCACCGGTAGAGTGTGGAGATTCTGCTTCCTTGGCGTTACCTCTGTACCAAAAAGCTTCAGAGTATTGATCAATGGCCTTGACCGAACAGATGATGCCATTGTGGATCTCGAAGCCTACACGAAAGGACAAAATTTAAATGTCAAGTGTCCGTCCGTATCAAATGAACAATACTCTATCACCATCGAACTGGGGCCCAACCCCCAACTCAGTGTGATAGATCACATTCCTCGTATCGAGGAAGTGATAAGGGACTATCAGATTGAGTTCCATATGAAGAACAAGCTGTGGGATGCTGTGCAAGGGTATCAGGACCGGCCTCTCAATGTGACGATCGGACGCTTGATGGCGCTGGGGTATGACGAGGCCATTGTGGGGCCCATCCTTGAGCTGATATTAGCAGATAGTAGATCGGTGAAAGCGTAGCGGGGAGAGTCTTCAAACTAGATCGAGTGATGACCGAATTGATGAACACACAGCATATGGATGGTTGTCGAATTCAATCCTGTACCTCAGTACTAGAGCAGTTGTAGAAGCAAAGATGGAAAACTCCCATTGGCTCGGGAAGATCTATGACGCTAGTCTTAACTGGGCTAGATTACTTTCCCGTCTCAAGAGGACAATGACGTCACTTGATATAGCGACTGAAAGCCTCGGGCATCAAGACATCTCAATCTCGCATTGTAGACTGAATACACGGCAGAAGTACATTTACATATTATAACCCCAACAGGCCAAAAACGGAATAAAGTGAAAACACAATAGATATTATCGCATCCCACCCATAACACCATACCTCCAACCTAAATACCCCAAAACCCCCGACAAACTCCCCATCCCGGCACTCGCAAACGCATTCCTCCACCCAAGGGCCCTCAGCAAGACCAACGAGGAAACCTCCTCATGGCCCGTCAGCTGAAACATCCTTCCATTTCGCCGCGCCATAACCACCAACCCTGTCAATCCCAGCACCGCACCCGTAAACCCCCAAGTATCCACCTCCACCTGCCCCGGGTTCTCCAGCAGTCTCCAACTGCGATCTTGCCATTCGATCGGGTCCCATTTCGCCAGATAATAAGGAAGCATAGCCGCCATTGCGCCAAGACCGATGACGGCACCCGTGCCTGTCGATCGCATAAGAAGAGTAGCTGGGGTGGATCCTGGTGGTACAATAAATCTGGTGTAGACCTTGTTATTAGAGGTTGGTTGATACGCTAATAGCCCTACTCGGAGGAGGCCGGTAGTGCTTCCTAGGAATGCGCCGGCTTGGAAGCTGCGGTCGAGGACATGGCCGGTGAGGATTAATTTAGGAAAGGGTTGGTCTTCGGCATATTCTGTGTGGGGCCAGAATGTAGATAGCATGTTGGGGTTCTGTAGGGAGGGCTTAGAGAAAGAAGAGTTGGAATCTTGTATAACCTCTTAGAGACGAAGGGTGAATTGTAGTGATTGATTGCGGGTGAGCTGATGTAAAGTACTCTCAGGGAGAGGCATGGTATGGACAGCTCGGCCAATCATACATTATTATAAACTAAAGCATGGTAGAGATGGGGTCAGGCAATGTCCTGGATAGCACTTGGGGTTGTTATATATTTAGTGCTTAGGGGAAAAGTGGAGCCTACTTTATTTCTTACGGGGTAATTAAAGGTCATCTGACTGCCGTGGTTTTCTAATCGGCCCGTCGGAATCTGCCCTCATACAACTTAAAATATGTTCCATTCTGACGCTTACATGAGAACACACCTGAATCAAAGAAAACAAAAGAGAAGAAAAGGAGAAGGGAGAAAGAAAGACGCACGTAAGACTGTCCGTACACCAAAAAGTATTTCCCACGCGATGAAACTAGAAGACATTGGAAACAGTAGTGAGAAAGTGCCCGAGAAAGACCCACCATTAAGCCAGCAATCCAAACACCTCCAGCAACACGTTGGTCTTAACAGGCGGAGGACGCTTCGAAAGCCCCATCAAATTATATACCGCCATCTGAGCGCTACGCACGCTATATTCCATACTGAACGTCGTATCGTGCGGGATCTCCACAAACTGACCGACGAACGCCATATTCGTCGTATTATGGGGGATTACCTCGGGACGGTCAAAGTGAGCCCGTTTCAGCAACGACGCCGTGGCCATTGGGAATATGCACGGGATCGTGTTAGCGTAGGGGAGCACGCGTTCCTGATCGAGACCCAGATGGCCAAGCAGTTCTATCAGTATCTCCTCCCCGCTGCATTCCTTCATTGGTTTCTTCACGATATTGCCCGGTTTCTCGAGCTCCATGCCGTATCCCCAGACAACGTGAACGCTGGCCGGCTGGTTGGCGAAGAGGGGCTGGCATGGTACGCTGAGACTCAAGTTCCAGTTGCTATGAACAAACGATACTAAGGCAGCTGAGCCGGCCTGGTTGTGCGTCCATTTTTCGTAGGTGTCGAGGAATAAAGGATCCTTCAAGGTGATAGTGAATGTTTCGACCGTGGACTCTTTGATATGCGAACGGAAGGGAACGGGATCACCGAATTTCCTCGTAGCCAACGTAGAAACCTTGTTCCATAAGGACCAGTCTTCCATGATTGTATCTTCTACAGATGCCTCCGAGGTGGGTGGTGCATGGTTGGATCCGACCACCGATCCCGAACTGACCGAGCCAAGAGTAACGATAACAATGTCCATGGGGTCAATAGTCACAAGCGAGGGGTTGTTATCATCATGAACGAGTTTGATCTCAGAGACTGTCGTAGGGTCGCCCTCCGGGTACATGACGAGCTCAGTTACTTTCGCGTTGAACCGGAAGTCGACGCCCTCCTTCTCCAGATACGCAATTATAGGGAGGATAACGGAGTCATAGAGAGTGTACTGGGTGCGGTCCAATGCACTGACATTATTGATGTCTTTGATCTTTTCAAGGTATTTGCGCAGGTGTCTCTGGAACTCGACCGCTCCGTGTTCGGGTCGCAGTGCGAAGCTATGAAGAGTTAATCCAAACAAGCCGGTCAAATGAGGAGGGTAATGCCCACTCACGTTGTAGACCACAGCGTCCAGAACTTGGAGTTAAAGAACGACTCATCGAAAAGGTCTTTGATAGCCTTGCCGGCGACCGCTTTCTCACCCTCCACCATGAGCTTGATGAGATCCCATCGGTGTTTAATACCCAAATGGAACTGTTTGTCGTCAACGCTCTCAAGGCCCTCGGAACGTTGTTCGACAAGCCGAGTTGACGCAATCGGCTTCTTCACCCCCTCCCCGCTCTCAGAGTCTCGCACCACATCCATGATGGATCGACCATTGTTCCCGGGACTGGGCACGTAGGATAGAAGATCTTGGACACAGATATCATGGAAATATGGCAGACAGGCAGTACGGAGCACGTAGCCATTTTCTGCATCACCGGAGCTCTGCATCGCGCCGCCAGCACGTCTATGCTCGTCAAGTAGGTGGACATTTTTTCCTGGGACCTTGGCATCGTTGATCAAGTGAACGGCGGCTGCTAGCGACGCGATGCCGCCGCCAATCAGCCAGGCCTGAACATTGCCAGGGTCTCGTCGATTAGAACTCTCTTTGTGGGGCATTTTGAGTGGATTTCTTTCGTGGACCATCGGCTTCAGAGTCCCATTGTCATTAAAAACTGAGCAGGCACAGGGAATATACGACGCCGACGCGGCCCTGAAACTATATACCACCTGAGAGCTGTCATATGACAACCAGGACCCAGAGATTCTACATGCTGTGACATAGTAGGCTCGAGTATTTTTGGAAGAGGAGCTCCCAGTGGATGTCGGCGTAAATCAATAAGTAAGTACCAAGGCTAGACTTTCCTCAGCCATTAGGTACCTTGTTTAAAGGTCAGGAGACTTCAGTCCAGAGGTTCTGTGGTTACGCACAATTTGACCCTTGGTAACCATCACGGATTCTCAATATAATTCGCAGCAGCGAGCAAATGGCATCCCAACACCTTCTCATTTGTTTTGTAGCTCATGCTGTACGTTGCGACCTTGTAGGGCTGTGATTTATCATTATTTGATGGAGTGATAACTCAGGAAAAGTACTGTCGGTAACCACCCTCTCAGTTCCCACCCACCGGGTAAAGTGGTGTGACAGGTATTGCCCACACCATCGAAGGTTAAGATAAATTCTATGCTGTTCGATATTTCTTAAAACACTAGTAGCATCATGATGTTGTCATGAAATTCTTCTGGTTGGGTTCAAATTCACATGAGCAATCGATCACCTTCAAACACCGAACCGAACCGGAAAGATGAATACTAGATCTCGTTATGGTATACACATAATGATAAATAGGATTTCTCAAATTAATTCTTCATTATGTCATAGCGCTTGGCCACCACCGTAGTTCATGTATCATATATGTACAATAGTACAGAAGTCAATGGATACCCACGACCTCGTCCGGTTCAAGTTGAAAAGTAGGTTCGCTCTGCACACAAGTCGAATTTCGAAATCTGTCATATACGCAGTCCATCTCAAATGAGCCGACGTAAGTAACCTGTGCTCTGCCTTTCGGGCTGATTATTTGAATGCCATCAGTTATCATTCTAAGAATGTAGCAGACGTACACCACCACAAGGTACACAAAGCATGCTTTCCGCCCGGACTCACCAAATAAAATTAGGCTCCACATAGGTAAGTGTTCCTTCGGTGCCATTAACTGCCAAGAAGAAGTGCCGCCCAAGTGATCGACAGTTGAAGGGTCCACCGGGAATCGGTCGAGCAGGAACACTCCCAGGGTCGGATGCGCCACAGGTCAACGTGTCATTGTAGGTTGGAGATTGCTGGGAGAATGTTGCTTCCACAGTATCTGGTGGGCCACAGCCTGGACCGCCATGAAGACCAGTTGGGAGACAGCCACCATCATCACACCCGCAATTGTGAGTGCTATTGTGCCAGAAAAATTTGGTAATAATGGCGGGAGGGATGTAGCAATCATCAGGGTCTTGCCCATAGACAAACGGCACAGTGGATACCAGAAAGACTAGGAGGATATGAAAACGAGCTGAGAAAAGCATCTTGGGTTATGTTCGAGGAATATAGAAAACGCGAGAATTGAGGATCCTTGCCTTTGATCTATATTGTACTCAGGAGGGAGAAGGGTAGTATTTATACTACTTTGTTTCAGCTACCCTCCCCTCCTTCATTGCCCAGTCAGGAAATGTTTTTATTATCAATCTGTTTATTTATTATCCCTCCACTCCTACGTCTCACTTTTAGTGTCTTTCTTGATCTTACTTCGTGCACCGTGATACCCGTTCTGTTACTGGACCAGAGATTATCTCCTGCGTAACCAGCCAGGGTATCACATACATCTTGTTGCAGATGGGCTAATGCGCTGTCACAATTGGTGATGTCTTGGTGATGTCTTGCGGATGTTTCAAAAGCAAGCGATGACCACACTGGCGTTCAGCCGTGCCATATTTGAGGGACGAATAAACGGCAGCAGATTTAGGGATTTAATTTCGTTGGCCCAAGCCCAGCTCATCACACCGCAGCTGGAGCATGGCAATAAGAGTATGTTATACGAACTAAGTAACTCTGGGGCTACAACAGCTACCTAGATTGCACGGTACTTTAAACATGTGAATGAACAAAAATAGAAGCTATGTAGTCCGGTTGTACTCCGTACGCAAGGTCAAATTGACATACCATGGGTTACATCCGTGCATTGACAAATCATGCCGGAGGCTGGCAGGCTTAGCTCATAGTATCTCAAATGCCTGAATGAAGTCCTGCAATACCTCCACACTTTCTGCCACTTTAGTGATGAACGGCGCGCAATGGCTGCTCTCGATTTCCCGCACATGCCACTGCTGACCAGTTCCCGACATCATGCCGTACTGAGCGACCTTAGGAACAGCCAGATCCTCGGTGGTCACAACATATGCCAACCTCCCGGTAAATGCGGGGTCAATCCATGCAGGGGAAGGCTGGGCGGAGAAAAAGGCGAGGCTGGCATGCGGCTTGATCACACTGCTTATCGCTAGCGCCTGTTCCTCACTGACATCTGCAGCGAAGGTCTTCTCTGGCTGATCGGGCACATTGAGGCCGGTAGCCGGCTACATCTCTCCGGTAAGTCTCCTCGAAATCATTATCGTCGAATTCGATACGAACCTGATCCAATAAAATCCACGGCGGTAGGTTGCCACCTTGCGTCCCAGCACAGCTGACTCCTTCGGGGACCAAGAATGCACCCATGCACACTAATCCCAACACCCCTCCTTTCTTCTCTTCTTTAGCTCTCTCTGACTTTGAGAGCCCTATGGCAGCCGCACCTCCCGGCATACTTGCGTATGAATGCATCACGAGCACCACGTCGAGACCATTGTCTTCCACCAAGGAGCACACGAGACGTCGGATGCTCGCGGCATCCGTCGCGCAATCAGCAGCGGTAGGATCAACTGGATCCAGAGACGGTAGCTCAGCTGTAACTGTCGGAAACCCCGCTGTCTGAACCGCTTCCAAGAAGGGTTTGTAGAACTCGGGAACAAGCCATGCACCCGGCACGAAGACAATAGTTGGTTTCATGGCTGCAGCAACACAGGCTTAAATGTGTACAAGCTTTTGACACACGAGATCGTCGCCGTAGCACGGGTAGGTTTATGGAAGAAGGTTGGTCTGCGTTGGAATCAACGTCGCAACCTCACAATTTGGGGGCGAAAGCCAAGGTGCAATCATATGCCTCATATCGCTGTGGGGCAAGTCTAAACGTCCAAGCCACACGATAATAGTGTCCTCCTACATACTGAGAGAGTCCACTTATCGACATGCCGACTCGACCTGCCTGACAATAAGCACTAATATGTAACGAATTTGTGTTCGGCTCGGTGTTTCGCCGGGATTCTAGCCATCCTATATTGATTGACTAGAGGGAGTAATGGTGTTTAATATCTGGGAATTAGTGGCAAGAGATAAATGGCCAGGTGAGACAGAATGGGATCAGTAGACTACTCAGTAAAGTACAGTCTTGGTGGAGCAAGAGGGGCAAATCTCTTTAGCAATATTTGCTATACAAAATGGTTAAATAACGTCTGTACGAAAGGCAGCACGTGATTTCCAGGTTTCTGAGAGAACACTTCTGTTAGGTGCAGGTGGTGCAGGTAGGAGTCACCTAACCAGTGTGATACTATATAAGGCGCTTAGGGATGTTTGGCTACTGGAAGTTCAGGCTCTAAGCTTAGCGTAACGCGGCTGTCAAGGAAGGCTATAAATAGTCTCCATCTATCCTAGAAAATACCATTGCGAGAGCGGAAGGGCATTTTCAGCTCCCCCACTGTTATCATATCATGTTCAGCTGGTGAATGTTAGTAGTGTATGATTATTCGATGGGCACGAAAATCTACGTTCAGCTTCCCCACTGTTATGACATCACGTTCAGCTGATCAATGTTAGTAGTCTATGATCATTCGATGGGCACGAAAACCCATGTTTAGCTCCCCCGCTGTTATGACACCATGTTCAGTTGGTTAGTAGCCTATGGTCATTCACCTTGGGCAAGGAATCCAACATTCACTCTGTTCAGCTCTTTTGGCTTCAGCCACACCCGCTACCCACAGACCACAGGCGGTAAGACCCCGGCCCGCCCCGGTAAGAAGTGTAAATTTGTGTGCCCTATACTTTCATTGTGGTCGTAATGTAATCCTTTTGGAGGGTGGCCAGCTTGCTGTGAGTTACATTATTTACTGTAGACAGCCTGTCGAGGGGGCAATGATAGTCACTTATCATAGCCACCGCTATCGTAGGTGCTCAATGGAATCAGAATGAAAACTCTGCCAGGTACGTGGCCAATATGCAGGAGATCTTGGCAGCCAGTCAATTCACCAATTGAATTAGTAGGCGACTATCTAACTATAATATCACCATGTATGGAGTTAGCTGAGCGGCCTGCAGGCAAGTCAACTAGATGAGGGGTAGGGTTGCAAGCGAGCGAACAAAACAGACAGACCCCTTACCCCCCAGACTATTTCAGTCATCTAGGATAGATTCTCCTCTCAGCCACGAGAATATCCTTTGCCAAAGCGTCAAGAGAAGACCAGTTGTTCATCTACATTGATTCCACCTCTCGTAAATGACAATGAGCAGACAAAAGGTTGAGGAAGTGCTGACTGCCCTGACCTCCCTGGAGCAGATCAGTACCTCTGCATACCAGGATGCCCTCAAGTCCCATCTTTCATTGAGCGGGTGGGACATGTTTAATGACGCCCCGCAGACCATCTACGATGAGGCTCCTGGTGGTGATTCACAGGCTCTGCAGCGGTTCAAGGTGCAGACAATCGTCCTGGGTCTGTCGCGATCGTCTGGCTATGGGTTTAATCGGACGGTGAATGCGGTATGATATACCCAGCCTTGCTCCCTCCCACCACTCTGACTTCTGGCTAACGGAGAACAGAGCGGACTTGACGAGAAAATGAACGTGACTGCCTCTTCTATTGCCCATTCCATCTACCGCGACTACCTGGAGAACGCCGTCAAGGAAGCAGGCAGAGACAGACCGGACCTGCTTGAATTAGAAAAGAACGTTGATTTCTGCACCGCCTTTGCGAACTACGTTCTCGATGAAGATTTCATCAATCGTACCCTCATCAAGACGTATCTCTCCACCTCCACAGCCTACCCTGAAGCCATCGCGTACATCTATGAGCGAGTACGCTCTACGCTGGCCTCCACTGATGAACATGCCCAGGCAAGCAAGTCCTCCGCACAAGACCACTGGCGGCCGCATGTCGAGCAAAACAGAGATCTTGCCGAAGCTGGCAAGACCGAAGAGCTCATCAACACGTGCTTGCCGGTGCAGTGGTCGAATGAACAGGCTCTGCAGGGACCTTCTTTCCCGCTCCTCGGACAGAGAATGTCTGTCCAGTGGCGGAGTAGCCAGGACTGGGTGAACCAGGTGAACGAGATGATCAGCGTTGTGGACAAAGAGCCCGATTACTCAACGCCCGTCGGAACCGGTAGAAACCCGCCTATTCCCATGATCGGAAGTAGAACGTACGGCAAGCGACTGCAGCAGTGGATTGAAGGGAAGAGAGGACAGCACTCGGATTTGTTTACCGGGGTCCACCCAGATAACTATGAGGGCGCGAAACCTGGGTATATGTCTTGCTTTGTTGCAGGAACGCAGGTGCGAACAGTCGATGGCGATGTGAGCATTGAGCTGCTCGGCAGTGGAACAAAGGTGCTGACCAAGGCACCTGGTGAATATGGTATGTTCTATGATGGCAAACCGTACATACTTTTATATAGACTAATGCATCCGGCAGGCGTTCTGTCAGATGAAAAGCCAATGTTTCCGACCACCGGCAAAGGGAACTTCCAGGAGTACGTCTTTGGCTTCAATGGCCAGAAGCCCTTTGTCACCGGGGGGCATATTTTCTTCACCACTGCTGGCCCGAAAGCCATCAGTCCGGCCGTGGCTCGTGAGGAGAACCCACAAGTAATGGTGTCGCAACTGCGCGTAGGCGATGTGTTGTACCAATTGGACGACAAAAATGGGAAAAGCGGATACGCCAAGGTCCCCATTGAGTCGTTTACTGTCGAGCGAGCACCGTGCGATTTTGTTTACGGACTGCATTTCGCCCAGGGCAGCCATGGTGGAGCTCGATATCACGCCAATGGATATCTTGTGGCAGCTAACTACCCGGAGATCACGTTGAAGCGGTTCGAGGATCGACTCAGAAGCTTGCCGGTCCGGGAGCAGAGGTCTAGTGTCGACGCGGTGAGCCCGATTCATTACTGCAAAGAGAATATCTAGCTAATACCCTGTCCAGATCCAGGCCCTGCCAAAAGCTCTGGGTGGAGTATTTGGATCCCTACTTAGTACATTCAAAACTACCTTCACCCCCGACAAGGTTCCACAATTCGGGGACCCGCAGGGCGCTTGTTATCAGGCACAGAAGAATACAGAACGATCGCGAGTGCCTGCGAGCTCTCTGATCATGGCCTTTGCGCTTCAGCCGCTGCATAGGACTGCAGGATCAACTGGCCTTCCTGAGGTGTGGTTAAACGAAGGTGCGGTGATGGTTGACTCCAAGTTTGTACCTCACGCCGAGGTCACCCACCACCAAGTCCAGTGGAGTCGAGAGAAAAAGCCCGGCTTGTGGGAGCATGGATTGCTTCATCTGTCCTCAGATGGTCTTCTGGCGTTTGGGGCTGTCGCGACCGAGGAAAACCAAGTCCTCTCGAAGGCGACGCATGTGGTTGGTGCCCCAGTCCAGCTGGTATACACGCCCAAAGGAACCAAAGACAACTTCAAGGACAGCGACACGGCGGATGGTTACAGACCCAAGCCAGACGAGCAGTTGTTGGACTTCTGGAGCATCAAGGTATTTATGGAACAGACCAAAAAGGGAACTTTTATAGCCAGAGCTTCTATTCCAGTAATGGATGAGCTATCAGGCAGTTCAGGCAAGGATGCAATTTACACATCGAGTGTCGATCTTTCGCCGGGACAGTTGAAAGTCACCCTTCGCATTGGGGATGGCCTTGAGGATACGGTCACGGATATGATCAACGAATGGAACAAACCTACCCCAAAGCCACAGCCTTTCAAGTCGCTGGTACTTTACATCAAACTTGTGACTGGAGAGGCTTGGGGCCATTACACAGAGATCGTGGAAGAGCCTGGAGAAGATGGCCCCATCCATGCTGTACATGCCGACCACTCAGATAAACATCGCGAGCTGAATAAAAAGTTCCCAGCAGCCATCGCATCGTCACCGATCGCCCATCTCAACTATGGCCTCAATTGCAATCTCTACTCAATCTCCGCCAACATCCACGCTGCACCGTTGCCAAAGGCTGCCGTGCTGCGAGAAGTAACGAACGACAGACCGCTCGCCATTGGCGAGCTGCAAACGCTTGATATTCCCGGCGACTTTGATGTCCACCACGTAACCCAAAACTATGTCATGGCCGCTGCGGGCTACTGGCGTGGGGAGAAGGAGAAGAGTGTTTTTGGAGACGGAAAGGGTGCAAACGAGAAGATCCTGCCGGATTCTCTCAAATCAGAGCTGATGAAACCCAACCAGACATTTTTAGCTGAGGTCTACACGCGCGCGTTATTCCTGTACAATCTCAGTACCAGCGACCAATATCAGGAGCATTTTACTGATGAGCAGAAGGAGAAGTTGGAATATTTCTGGTCGGGCAAGGTTTGCAGCTGGTCTGTTTGGATAGAGTAATTCACTATACTGATGATCTATTGCAGGGCCAAACCTGCATCTCTCGCAGACGGGAGTTTGCTGCCATCAACAATCTTGCGTGTGGCGCCTCCTTTGTGGATCAAGTCCCACGACTGAAAGATTACGTCAATGATTCGAGCAAGGACTGGGCGGATCTGTTCTATCAGGCAGTCAGCGACGACGATTATCTAAATCAAATGGCATTCTCCAAGTTGTAGGTCTTCCATTCCTGCCTGGAAGAGTATCCATGGAGAATAGTCCGCTGATGAAAAAATAACAGAACCGGCACAAATCCGGTCAACAAATGTTGTCAAATATTGAACGCACTGGACAAGCAGAACCGCGGATACCCGGAAAAGCTGTGGAAGCTCATTCTCTCCAAATCTATCATGATTCTCTCATATGAAGGCGCTCCGATGAACGCGGACGGGTTCATGAACTTTGCTGTCGACTTTGTAGAGCAGCTCATCATCAGGATCAAGACCAAAGATCAAAGTATCACGAAAGAGCTACAGGAAGATCTCGGGTTTGATATTATGGAGATGGAGAAGCAGTATAATACTACCTCCGCACGGGAGGTGGCGAGTTTTATATTCGGGATGCAGGGCGAGCTTGGCCGGTTACTCTCGGAGTGTGTGCGAGAGGCAGGGATTTATATCGGAAAGAAGAACCTGACAAAGCTAGCCACTGCGATAAACAAAGTCAAGGAGAAGGCAGACAAACACCTGTCGGAGGAAACGCAGAATAAGTTAAAAAATACCTATAAGGGATTCGTAAAGCTATGTTCCATCGCGTGAGTTTCTATCTAGTATAGTAAGGCGGCCGTGATGAGCTAACAGGAATACAGAGCACAAGGATATCAACTTGCCTCGGCAATCAAATACTTGGCTGACTGGAACAATCTGAGCGACGTGGACCGAGCCAAAGGCATCTTGCAGATTGTTGAATCCACCTGCCGCTTGATAGGCGACGTAGCACCGATAATCAAACAGCTTGGAGAGAATGCCTGGAACAGTGTGCGAGTCCAGCAGCTCCTTGGACAGTGGAATAATCGTGTGGGCGGTCCAAGAGGTCGGGCGAGCGTTCCCTTCAACGATGCTGAAGTTCCGATATTTGATACCGAGAAGTTGGCAGAGGTGAATAGTGAGGCCGAGCAGTCATCCCTCGAGGGACAGATTGGAGGGACCACTGGCGACGCGATGGCGGAGGAGAAACTTACCATGTGGAGCAAGGCGACCAAGGCCGGTGGCCTGGTTCTCAAAGGCGTTGTCATGCTGAGCAACCTTGCAACTGTGGTTGGGTTGGGATTCCAGATAGAAAAGGAATGGGGCTCGGAAAAGGCCGGCATCATCGCCATGGATATCATCAACATGGCCGCCGTCGGGACTCAGGTCGTGGTGGAGACTTTGGAAATCGGATTGGCGGTTTTTGGCGTCGAGAGTACGGTGCTGCCTCTGATTGGGGCTGTTGCGGCCCTGGTTGGCATCATCATCATGTTTATAGAGTATAACCTCCCCTTTCCCTTCAGTTTCATGGCAGTTGGAAAGATTCACTAACCGTCATCTTCAGAATGGGCGTGAAGCATTCTGCCCCCGAAGACCCAGCTGTAAAATACATCAAGGAAGAGGCTCCCACCTTCATCAAGGATCTCTCCAGCCGGCCCACGACCAAACTCACTTACAACATGCCATCCGAGGCTCCAAAGGAAGGCAGCTGGCAGTTCCAGCTCAATATCACCGATGAAACAAAGAACTGTCTGGCCATCGAAGCGTTCCACATCACCATCCCCGTGGGCAACGTCGAGACCGATCTCTTCGCCCGCCCAGTGATCAAGGAAGGCTCGAGTGACCCGGCTGAGAACCGCATCCAATGTATCGTCTCCGACCCGAACCGGTTTGTCGTCACATCGGCGATATCTCCAAATAGAGACAATCACACTATGCTCTTCCAGGTGGCTGCAAAGGATAAGACCGCTGCTTTTGGGCAGCTTCGGGTTACTTTTACGGGCACTTTGAGCGGAATGGCGGGCAAGTCGAATATCAACATTAAAGAGATTCCGCCCAAGGAAGGGAAGGACAAGCCGGAGGATTCGAGGACGGATCTGGTGAGGCATATGACCATCCAGAAGAAATGATTGATCAATGGGCGACTAGAATATGGATTTTCCTGGTTATGATGCCGTGTGGATGGGATTGCAATAGGTTTTTGTAGAAGCGTGGCAGAACATAGGATATGTACTAATTCTCACAGATGCAGCTACATAACGAATATTAAATTGATGTTGGCCAGTTCAGCCACAATGCAGGCTCCTATTGACCATACTCTATGCCTCTTCGTCTTTAATATCTGAAAACAGTTTGTCGAGGGACTTGAGCTTGTGATAAATATAGCCTTATATCCCATAACAACACTCAACCTCGAAACTCCTTTGGCAGATAGCAGGCTAATGTACCTGAGGTCCCCATTGCTAGAATAGATATCATTTGATCATCACTCTCTCGACAAACATTCCACCTACTCTGCCGGCGGGCCTAACTCCTTCCCGACTGATCCACGTCTAGCATTATTCTTAATCTCTTCTTCTTCATGATTGATATACTTCAACGAACGCTTAGTCGAAACCGCATCCGGATCGCCCGTGACAACAAGTGATGGGTTTGTGTGGTAATACGCACCCATGTCTTCGAAGGTACGGTTTACTATAGGTAGAAAGGAAAAGGTAAAAATTAGCTATGATTCTTCGCACTATAGGGATCGCAAGATATAGCAGTATGACATACCTGTTTTGGGGTAGAAGAAGTAAATAGGGGCAGAAATACAGCTTTCAGCATAGTCTAGATGATCGAGAAACGCCAACCTAGACTCTGGATGCCAATTAGTATAATTTCCAGAATCATAGAGTTGGTGGCCCTGGAAGAAGGCGTGTTAGCAGGTGTACGTATATAGATATAGCAATATTTTTTATATTACGCCGTACTAATTAGTAGCTGTTGTAACTACCGCTTCCGGGGTCCGTATTAGAAGTGAGCCGATCATGTCACGGACCTGACCTTGCTATACCTTTCGGTCTTCGATTTCCGCCTTTTTGGTTCTGGCGTAGTGGTAAAGCACTACGCAGTCGGAATTGGGTCCTCACAATCATGCCAAACACACATGGATACCTAGAGGCGGCATTGGTTTCTCTGCGTTGGGCTTCCTACCTTCTTACCGTCTACCAATCACCGTTTGGATGATTTATCATTGTTATGAATATAGTTAGCATCGGCCCCATGGACTACCTATCCGAAGGATCGGCGAAGTCCTTCTTTATATGTCTTCCCACAGACGAATTCCTGTACTGTATACTAAGTTTGCTCATCCAATTCGAAGGCTTAGTTCACTCTATTCTATGTCAATTCCTCTGACCTACCGTAGATTCACAACAATCATAAACCATTTTTACCTTCTTATTCTTCAAAGTACTTTACTCTAGTAGATAATTAATTGAGCCGGTTTAGCTGGGATTGGTGGTTCATCTTCCTTCCTGCACGACTTCTTCATAATTACCGATATTTATCCAGCTCTACACCGATATACAAACTGTTGAAGAAATGTATTGGGACCGATTCCTTCCTAGTGTACAGCGGACTAAATCTAGCTAACAGTCAACCAACAATCTTTTACCGAAATCGTGGCGTTTTATACTAGGCTATATATTGACTATTACTTCCACATCTACAAATACTTAGATAATCATTTTTTTTTAGATCTTAAAACAGGTCTATTTAACTATCCGATTCTAATATTGTATTCAGTCAGATATAAGTAGTTATTAGTAATAATATTCTATATAATTACTAGCTAATAATTTTAGTATTTTCTCAGCGGTGTACCCATGTCTCTATATGTGTATTGCAGCACCTGCGCTTATTAAAACTGAGACTACGTCCGCATAACCCAGCTTCGCAGCAATCATTAAAGGTGTACATCCTGAATGGCTCTCAAAATCAACCTGAGCTCCTGCTTGAAGCAAGATCTGCACTGTCTCGACATGCCCTGCTTCCACATCTCGCACAAGTGGATTTTGTTCCAAGGGTGACTGTTTGTAGATATCTCGCCACAGCATTGCTTCAGCACATGGCAACCCACTAAGCAACTCCCATTTCTGAATGAACATCCATATGTTTTTATGTCTTGTTTGAGTAACCTTGCATAGATATTGTGGCTCCCAGTTTAACTTGCTAAAGATGTTCAGGGAATTTTATATTGAGGTGAGGCAGACCAACACGCCGAATGGCGGGTGGGTCTGCTGACCTAAGAGACGGCTATCTCCATGCCTTTCATTACCAAACCCGGGGAGACTTGTAAAATACGTTACCAGTCGTTCTGCTGACCTCATCACGTCAAACAATGCAAATCTTGGATTCTTCACTCCAACAAAACCGCAAGATCAAAAAGAAGATGAAACACAAGAGACAATAAAATGGTAAATTGACCCTCCTCGCTCCTAGCACATCAACTGGGTAATTAACAAGACTCCCTAGGTACGACTAAACCCGGGTGCTCTGACTATCGCCCTTCTCCTCACCACCGCCGCAATCGCGTATACGCGCACTGGAACAATCCAACAATCCCTTCAATCCCTGCCTATAAACACATCTCTGGTTATCGCTCTCTTCTCCTTTCTCGGCGGCGTCCTAGAATCCATACGCACAAAGTCTCCTGCCGCATTCATAGTGGGCCATATCTTCAGCGCCGTTTATGTTCTGAGTTTTGCGCGTCTCCGCGAGGGCCAGCCTTCTGGTGCTGAGATTGGGTTATTGGGGTCCTGCGCTTTGGCTGCAATTCCACTCGCGAACGCAGGCTTGAACCTGGTTTCGAAGGAATTGGGGTACGTTGGAGGATATGGAGTTGCGGTTTTTGCCCATGCTTATGGGGGTGTTGGATTGGCTCTGACGTTGCTTTTTTCGCTGGTATTGTTGGCCTATAGAGATGAGATTCGGCAGATACAGGCTCGGGTGGATGAACGGATATAAGAAACGAGTATATAGCCAGTAAATATAAATATTCGATACCTTTCTGAATCATGCCGCTTGCAATTGTATATGATAATATGCTCAACTTCTTCAAGACAGAGATAGACCTCTGGCGCTCATCAGTAACACAAATTATTAATACCTTATCGGCTCTGAGAATTCCCAGTGTTCTCGAAAGTGCCAATTGGGCAAGATGAACTTTTTTTTCATCCACTACATCCTCTGGACTGTAACCCGTACACTACTATCCGGGTGATTGTTAGTCCAGGCGACCCCGTGACAGTATAAGGGATCCCAGGTACTAGGGTATGTAGTAAATACACCGCTGGGAGTATCAATAGAACCAAATTCTCAAGTTGAGAAAGATAGCATCATATCCGGGCATTATAGTACATCTTTATCACAATAACGGTTGTAATAACTATACCATCTGTATGTGATTGCAAGTAGTCAGGGTTTACCTGCGGGTCATGGCGACGTCTCGATACATATCTCAAGTGCTTGCTCCGCTCCAACCTCTCACTCTTCGTACATCCACCAGCCAGAAACTGGCTGTATGAAGTTTAAACTTGTATTCTGACGCGGCCTTTGATCGTCCGCTGAAGAATTGGCTTGGATGCCAACCAGATCCGCAACCATTCTCGTGTTATATTCATCTCCATGGTCGTTGACCTTCACTGGGACAGAGGCAAATCCGCAAGGGATGTCACTGGTATCAACGCGGTGGTATAAAATACCATCAAGTTCGCATCCTGCCCGATTGCCTGCAAACGCTTCCAAGGTAATCGAGATTGGGCGCGAAAGTTCAAAAAAGAAAGTAGGCAGGAGTGTGAATTCGTCCTCCTCTGCCATGCAGAGCAAGGCAGTCAATATGGCGTAGGGAACTATGCATTCACCATTCATAGGGAATATCAGGTCGTTGGCAATCCGTATGTCTGCTTCTATAATGCCATGCTGGTAGAATACCACGGCGACATTGCCTACCGACAAGGAATAGGACGGGTTCATAAAGATGCAGTCCACGCTATCGGCCATTCACGGGAGAGCAAAATCTTAATTCTGGGTTAATAATATGCGGTGTTAATTAGTTACAATTATAGTTTAATTTCACTATTTGACCCTGTGGAATGTAAGACAAATTGGAAAAATAAGCAGAAGTGGCCCATCCCCTCCATTGCTTGTAGCATAAACGCCTACAAAAGTGCCTTGTCGGAGTTTAGTAACAGCAAGTTGTGTTTCCATGATACAGAGTGAGCTTACCTGTAAATCCTTCGCTAACAGCGGAGTTAGCCGCGTATGCAAGAGTTGGGGCTATAAAAGACTGTCAATGTTCCAGCAAACAGTCAGGTATCAACCAGGTTCTACATAACAAGTTAACTAGCTATATTCAATGAGTCATAACAAAGTAATGAAGCTCAGCTGCTTTTACTCCAGCCAGCCCCAAGGTAGGGCAAGAATACTCGGGAAATTTCATCCTGACTGATTGGTTGAGTGTGTCCAACTCCATGTGCAGATCCATGTTAGCACCTCATTTTAGTTCATCCAAGGCTGATTGTTGACGATTTTTTCTGAGGGAAACAGTGCGAATGATCAAGTCGGACATTCCCTCATATTCGCTCTTGACTCCAACCCCTCTTTTGGAAAAGAATGGCTGGCATGAAATGAGCGATCAGGTTGAACCCTTCTAGGATGACGACTGAGATCAGCAATAATGTAAAACCCCGCGGAAAGAAACCCCGTGAGTTGAAGTACCTCGCGAGAGATCAACCAAATACATGAGCTTTATTGGCTGCTTTGCATAGCTGATGTCATCGACATCGTCATTAGGAGGGGTTCTGAAGCTGCTAAAGTATTCGTTAAGGACAATATCCAGGTATATAGGGCGGCGCTGCTTCACATCCCAGATATGTGTATTCAATCCCCTATGTATATACTGAACACCAATAAGATAAGGCTGACGACTATGTGGTCAACAGCAGTAGTCTAAGAGGCTATACAAGTACATACTACGCGTGATGAAGAGACATCTATCAGCCTGGCCAAATCCACCAATTACCTATATAGAGATTTCATCACTCCATGCACCGTTCAACTGAAATACTAGTTGTGTGTTTCACAGCTACACTAATGCAGTATGACTTGCCACTGCGCTTGAACGATCTCTAAGCGATCTGCCGATCCAAGCCACGTATATAACCGATCATTAGGAAAAGTGGATCCACGCATCGGGCATACGTCGTAGTATGCAGGGATCTTCCGGCCCGTGATAGTGGAAGGGCCGAAGCGAAGAAAGTTTACCTGTTCTTTTTTAACTTGAATTGGTCCAGGTCATTTACAACCTAGTACTTGTCCACATGGGGACTGGCTAGGTCAGTAATTAATGTCCACGGAGAAATTCTTGCATAAAAAGAGTAGACAACAAAGGAGGACAATCTTCTTTAAATGGGGATCAGAGGTGGCGTGGCGAGTGGCTCGATATAAGGTCGTTTTCGTGCTACACCTTTTCAACAATATTGGAAGAAATCGATAAGTCATGTTTCTTACTAAAGGGTATACTTTTCCCACCAACTTCACGACGACGGGAAGCATTCATTAATCATGATTTAATCCTTGTACCAAACAAACCAGCCGAGTTAAAGGAAGATTCCACCCATGTGTCAAGCGCGAAATCTCTGATCGGTAAGCCTCGGAGCTGGACCGTGGTGTCTTTGGTCGTTCAGGTACAAGACATGCAATCCACCCCTTAGAATAACTCAGACTCATTCTATAACCCTATTTTCGAGCCTTCCCATATTCAGATAGAGCCTACTTTACCATCCATTCTGACTCGACGATTTGCTTGGTAGTACTTCGATTCTTTGGTCTGAATGAGAGTACCGGCCGTAGCATGTCAAAGATAGCGTCCCTCTCTTCTGCGTCAAACGATAGCGTTCCACTATCTCGTCTGGGCTGTTGCACGCTATTCTCAAATCAAACCTCCCAAGACTGGAATGGGTTACGGTTTATTGGCATACCATCATCGGTAAACTTGTGTTGCCGTGCCTCCCACTTTTTCTACTATTCGGGTGGTAAAATACCAAGCGCATTGATATGCTCACAGGCTATATCATTCTCCGTCGCGAGCAATCCTTCGAATAGTAGCTTTTGAGTAACAATAGCTTATATAGTACAGGCGAGGTTCCAGAAATCCGACAGAAAAGACAGAGACTTGTTGGATTTAAATCGAGCTTCTGGGGGACGGATGATAAGAGGGATATAAGATTCATACTTTTTTTGTTTAAAATAAAAAAGGTCTGACCAAAATCTGTGAGTACTAGTCTGGCTTCTGGAAGTGTAATGTCTTCCTTTGCTTCCCCAAGCCATATAGGTGCAAAACTATAGGATAGGGATATCAGGAGAAAGCGGCTTGCCATCCAGATAGACAATTGGGTCGAGCTCAGGTGCTCTGTATTTCTTATACAATTAGTCAATCAAGAGCAGGTCAAAATCGGGTATAGATTTGAGAAGAATATTGCCAATATAAAGATCCCTGTGGATATTACCTTGGGTGTATATATAGTCCACAGCAAAACTAACTTACGCAGCCAATACTCGGACTATATCCATTTAGAATAAGTAGATATACAAGCTATCTTCTATACCAGAGAGACTAGCTCTCGCTGGGACAGTAATGTAGCAAGCATCGCTACCATTTGGACTGCGAATGGTGAATATATCTAGAATCGAATGAACCATTGTGTTCCCGGGAGTATTGACCACAGAATTATGAGGATAAGTGAGGGTGGATATATTAGTCACTTTCTTTGGGGTTGAGTCTACTGTGCAGATTTTCACAGCGATGTATTTATTGTTTGGTTTATTATGGGCCAACCATGTAGTTGAATAGCAACCATGTCCCATTTTATGAATTATTCGATATCGATTATGAAAGCGATCTCCAATTTGTAAGGGGTGATAGCCCCCCTGATCGATAGTTTTCAAGTCTCTCCACTCCCTCAAGAGGCTCGTATGAGAATTTGGTCTCAAAATCGTCACTGGAGGTCATTGAGTTGAATGTGGTGGTAGCGAAGGCGCAGTGGGGTTGGCTGTGGTGCAGTGGCATGCACCTGTTGCAGAGTAAACGAGATAAAATATGTGGATGTAGCAACCGAATACATGATAATAACAGCTTACTCATACCCGGATAGTGTGCATAATTTGAGCAACAAGGAGTTCGAGCAAAGAAGACAAGAATATATGAGTGTTCTGGGAGTTGGAGTCAGACGAATGTCTAACAACTGGGTGGCGGGTCCTGTTTCAACCCAACCTGTTTCTTGGTAGGTTTTCGGTTGGTTAACCTATAGATTAGATCTAGATCTATATCTAGATTTAAATCTACAAGTTTCTAGATCCATAAACAAAATGAATGATGATAGCAAATCTTCTGATCTAATTATTCTACAAAGATTCAGCCGCGGGAGTAGGTAATCATTCATTCATACTCTACGGATGTGCATATTCTTCCGGCCACGCGCTTTCCTCCACGCAGGGCCACGATTTTCGGTGCCTGGCACCCTTTAGGTTTCAGATAACCTTTTGCTTCCTCCTTTTTTTTTTTTTTTTTTT